CGCACTTCAGCTTAAAATCCAGTCCTATTCAAATGACATCACTTGGAATACCCTTGATGAAGATCAAAGCTGGTCCTTTCTTCAAAGCTGGGTGCCTAGAATAATGATTCTTTACTCCCGATAATCCTAGTGCAGTGTCATTTGTACAGTGATTTCTTCAGAAGTCCTGGTGTGGAGACGTCAGCAGTATTTCTGTTAGCAACCAAAAGAAACATGAGTGAAAACACTGCATAAGAAAAAATAAATCCCTATATCTACATTGATGGCTTGCAACATGGTTCTGGCTGAGTCAGATTCCTTAAATCTCAAATTATCAAAAGTATCTAGTGGCCCAATGCCTTCAAGCCAAAAAATTTTTCAGTGACTATATTTTTAAGTTTTACATCGAAGTTAAAAATCTACCTAGGAATTTAGATTACAGTTGAGACTTGGGTTCCTTCCAGATATCAAGAAAAACATTTCGAGAAAGTGAAAAACAGATCCCATACCTGCTCAGGGCCCATGGGCATGCCAGACATGGGCATGGAGTTCATGTTCATCTGTCCCATGGGACCACTGCTGCCATTCATGTGCACCATATTATATGCTGCAGGATTCCCCTGGTGGGCAAACTGCTGCTGGGGGAAGGAGCTGCAAAGGAAATGTGAAATTACCGAGTCATTTTAGTAACACAGAACATACACACAGAGACTATCACAATTTTGCAAATGTCACCGTACTTAAGCAGAGGACATGAGAGGAAACTCCCGGACAGCCTGCCCTCTTTTTCACAGCTGTCTGTATTCAATGCTGTCACAGATACATGCATGGGAGGAAGAACTCACAAAATGGATGCACCAAACAGCATTTTCCAATATGAACCCAGGCCTTTTGATCTCTCCATTCAAACAGACTTAACTCAAAAATGCAGAGATCATCTAAATGTTTGGCACTAGAATACGAATTGCTTTTAAAGTCCTTGTTCTTCACCTGTTCCTGGCCAGGTTTCCTGATGGCCAGCCTTTCATTTCCGAGGACTGATACATAGGTGCGGTGTGAGGGTGCTGCATCATAGGATTCTGGGAGGGACCCATTCTTGATGACATCATTGCATTAGGAGGACTGGACACTCGACCAAAGGCTGGATCTGGTTGTTGCCCCATTCCTTTAAAAAAGAAAGAAAAAATTACAATGCTCAAATGCTACTCCTTAGAACATCAGCTTTCTATAGTAATTTTATGTTCTTTTTTTTAAAAGCAGGGGAAGGTCACAAGTATAAGACACCGACTGTTGCCCTAACCGGTTTGGCTCAGTGGATAGAGCGTCGGCCTGCGGACTCAAGGGTCCCAGGTTCAATTCCGGTCAAGGGCATGTACCTTGGTTGCGGGCACATCCCCAGTAGGAGGTGTGCAGGAGGCAGCTGATCAATGTTTCTCTCTCATGGATGTTTCTAACTCTCTATCCCTCTCCCTTCCTCTCTGTAAAAAATCAGTAATATATATTTTAAAAAAAAAGACACCGAGTGCTACAGGCTGCTGCCTGCCAGTTATTCTTGCTTCTCACCAAGACACCAACTAGAGTAACAGGCTTACTACCGAAAAGCACACTGCCTAGCCCTAGATCACTTAAAGCAGCGGTTCTCAACCTGTGGGTCCCGACCCCTTTGGGGGTTGAACAACCCTTTCACAGGGGTCGCCTAAGACCATCGGAAAACACATATTGAATATATAATTACATATTGTTTTTGTGATTAATCACTATGCTTTAATTATGTTCAATTTGTAACAATGAAAATACATCCTGCATATCAGATATTTACATTACGATTCATAACAGTAGCAAAATTACAGTTATGAAGTAGCAACGAAAATAATTTTATGGTTGGGGGTCACCACAACATGAGGAACTGTATTAAAGGGTCGTGGCATTAGGAAGGTTGAGAACCACTGACTTAAAGGGTAGTTACTTCAGTAAGCTCTCTGTATAAAAGGGACTCCATATTACACTACTCACATTACTCTGTCCCTCTACAGAGGGCAGAAGAGCTGCTGTCCCCAACTGGCAGGGGTGCATTCTGAAATGTAATCTCCTCAGTAGATACCACTATCTCCAAGAGGTATAAGCATTATTGTAATGATAGAGGCCCAGTGCATGGATTCATGCACCGGTGGGGTCCCTCAACGTGGCCTGCGGGAATTGGGCAGAAACGGGCAGTCCAACACAGCCTGCCACTCCTGCTCATCCCAGCACCACTGCCCCTGCCGCCACCGCCGCCAACTCTCAGTAGGCTCGCTGCCACTCCACTGTGGTCTCCAAGCTGTGGCGGCCAGCCATGAGCCCTGCGCCTGGCACCCATTGGTCAGCTGAGCAGCGTGCCTGCCCACTGGTGGTCAGTGCGCATCATAGCGACCGGCTGACCAGTCGTAACGGTTGCTTAGGCTTTTATATATATATACTAGAGGCCCAGCGCACAAAATCATGCGTGGGTAGGGTCCCTAGACCTAGCCTGCAATCAGGGCCATCTTCCGCCCACTCGCCAGTCCCCAGTCCCACCCCGCCACCACCCCCCCTGGTTCCCCATTGGCCATCCAGCGATTGGAGCCTGCAGGCTGGGGGGAGGGACCGAGAGGTGGTCAATGCACCTCATAGCGACTGGTCGTTACGCCGTTTCGGTTGCTGGCCTTTTATTATATAGGATATGTATATAGAATAGATGTCTCAGTCACCGATAAAAGGAACTCAAAAGCCCACACAACACACCACTCTCTCTGACTTGACCAAGCATTCAGAGACTGTAGAGACATATTGGGGGGAACATGGTAACACCTTGGTAGTTTTCCAAATTAAGATATGGAGAGCGGGGGGAAAAAAACCAAGACCTGGAAAAACATACTCAACTATGACAAACTATCAACCTCAATGACAATTACCTGTGCAATGCAGTAGACATTTTTGTTCTGTTATTTTTAATTACATTTTTCTTGTGAAATAACAAGAGAGAGTGAATAGTATTTTTGTTCTTAATAAGCATCAGATCTAGTAAATCTTAAGTCCTTAGTAATATTACTTTGGGACAGACATTTTCATTGTCAAATTTACCATAATTTGGTTGATATGGAAACTGCTGGGGTGGAGCCTGTGGTATGGCAGGCCCTGCCAAAACCCCATCCATGCTGGGGGAGGCGGTCACGTTAGGGGGTGGGCTGAAGGCCTGGGTCTGCTGCTGCTGCTGCTGCTGCTGCTGCTGCTGCTGCATCATCATCGCCGCCACCCTCTGCTGTCGGAAGTGATGACTTAGCAGCTCCCTGCTGCGCTGGGCAACCATCTGGGCATTAAGAAACCCCTGCTAATACCCAAGAAAGAATCAGTTACACACACAGAGCAAGAACCAGCCGGTTTCATACATATAGTACCCCCACAAAAAACATCAGGTATCAGAGAGAAAAAAACCCCAATGCCTTTCTATGTAATTACAAAAAAAGGAAAAATGTACAATTCTCATCATGATCAAGGCTTTCTATGGGTAGGAGGGTGAAGATTTGCAGAAGAGGGACCTAGAAATTATTTGGGGTCAGGAGATGAAAGTAGACAGTTGTCAAGCTTTAAATAGATAACATTCAAACTTTTCAGAAACTATGAAAAAAAAATACAAAATGAAAAGGGGCAGGATTGAGAGTGTATTGGGGAGAAGGGGACTTAAAACAAGGGGAGAAAAAAAATGAACGGGGTTACACTTGGAAAGCAGGAATCCATGCCAGGTAGTCTTACAGTCACTTTAAACCTCCGAAAGAGGAGGCAGAGGCAAGGAGAAGCTATCTGGAAATCCGGCGGTGACAGGATCAAAGCACTGAGCAAGGAAGCTGGTTTGTGCTCTACCAGCTGGGAGACACCATCTCCAAAAGCAAACCTTTACTACTGATTTGGAGGGCACCCTAGCTTAGCTTACACAGGATGTCTGATTATCAAGAAATACAGATATCAGTACTTCCAAGTGCACCTAGACAGTGAAAACAGAGCATTTCGCTGTTGTTTTTTAATAATTATGAACAGCATTTCAGGCCACAGTAAAGGGTTTTTGTGTTATCCTCTGCCTTGTGCACATTAAGAAAATACCTTAATACAGTCTCCACCTTGGACTGGAGGTAGAACTTTAATATCATCCCTCCCTCTATGGGGAATAGATCATCTCAGAGGTTATTAGCGAGAGTAAGATTATGTTTTACTTATTTTCTTCATTATTCTTACAATTTCAAATGTTGCCCGGAAAGCATATGGTTTCATAATCCAAGAACAGAGAAAAGTTTACAGATTATCTTAAATTCCTAAAAAGAAGTGACAGCTGTTTTCACAATACAGCAATTGACTGCAAATGGGAATTAATTTAAAAAAACACGAATCAGTGGTATTGATAAAAGAACCTTCCTCTTCTGATTCTTCCCAGTCAACAGCAAGAGAAAAGAACGAAAGAAAAAGTGTGATGAGACCACGGGATGGTTTCTTACACAAAAAAACTTGGAATTACTTTATTTAATAAACATTTATGAGAGCCAAGCACAGGCCACACCAGACCCTGTGCTGGACATAGGACAGTGAAACTGAACATCGAGAAACTTATTCTTACCTGGGAGTTCACCTGGGGCTGCATCATGGGCCTCATCATTGCCGCTCCACCAGCAGTGGGGTTTTCCATTTTCATTTCCAGTGCCTGCCGGCTCTGATTCAAAAACTGGAGAGAGACAGGTTGGTTAGGATGCAAATGGAACATGTTAATACCTTTCCAAGTCCTCAACACTACCCAGGGTATTTCCAAATGTTCAATACCATGGTATTTCCAAACCCATTAGCCTGGGTAAGTCCATCTAAGCTGAACCAGTATACTTCCACACTTGATAAAGTTCATGCTGAAAAGTTTTTGGCTAGCAAGCATATGAAACTTTATTGTTTGGCATCAGAAGGAAAAGTTTAAGTGCAATTTTGCAGCTTAAAGAGTATCTTCAACAGGAACGCAAAGGATTTGTAAAGTCAGATGTTCTCTGGGATTGTTTAGGCAACTGGGGAAACAGCTTTAACTTGTCAGAGTAACACTGAATAAACTACCTCTTCTGTTATCTTTTCCTAGGTAAATTTTATTAGAAAGAAATTGTAAAAAGTAAAATGATACCATGAGCACAATACAGCTTTCCTGAGCACTAAACTGACTTTTAGGAATACTCATACACTAGAAGCATGCCTGGCTCACCGGATTCTAAACTCATTCACTCGCTTGTTTATATGGTTCAGTCTGCCACATCTGATAACTCAGCACACCCGCAGTGCAAACAATACAAACACTTAAGTTTTAAAATAGTTGTTGGGGATTAAAGAAACAATGAGAAAAATATCCTATCTTAGCATATTAAGAGAGCTCAAGTTTTATAAAACATCTAGAAAGCAGATTCCATAAAAAGAATGCTGAGCCCTAGCCGGTATGGCTCAGTTGGCTGGACATCATCCTGTGCACCAAAAGGTTGCCAGTTTGATTCTGTCAGGGCACATGTCAGGGTTTCAAGGCTCAATCTTAAGTAGGGGGCATGCAGGAAGCAGCCAATCAATGTCTCACTCTCACATCAATGTTTCCCTCCCTCTCTTTTCCTTTCTAAATAAATAAAAAAATAAATCTTTAAGAATGGGTTAAATATTTGGTTATTACTATTACGAACTTTTAAAAATAGAAGTTATCTACCTCCAGGACTACAAAGTCACTTAGAAATACTCTTCTCTCCCAAGAGCAATCCTCTCTGAAACTGACTTTTTTAACATGTACATCAGACTATTCTTATAAAAAAGTACCCAATTCTAGCACACAGCCCCTAACAAGAAACCATCTATACAAACAAAATGTTACACAGAAGTGAAAACAAAAGGAATTTTAGTTGACAAGAGTTAGAGAGCCAGTGACACAAGGCCTGAAGAACACAAACAATTGAAGAAGAGGAAGCCAAAGGTAAAGCCGCTTTGGTCAAGGCAGAGCATGTGACTGGTTACCTGTTGGCCCTGTAGCCTCTGCTGAAGCTGCATTCTAAGTTGCTTGGGGGTGTTTGTCCGAGGTCTCATGAGGTTGGCCCTAGGATGCATTCCCTGGAGAGGAAAATTGCCTTGCTGGTTCATCTGACTCATCATAGAGTTAAAAGATGGTGATTGTCCCTGAAGATTAAAGCCTCCTTGCATTGGAGTCCCCTGTGCTGGATACATCTGCCCATAAAATGCTGCCTTCTGATCCATCATTACTGTTGCTTCTTGGCCTTGGAAAACATCCTGTTTGGGCTCCAAAGCTTGTCCCTTAAACATCAAACACATAAACGAACAGTGAAGTACATCTGGAAAAACAACTGAAATCAAATGCTCTAAAGAAGGTGAAAAATAAAGTTAATATATGTGAACAATGATGTAGAGTTCCAAAAGCAAAACCAAGTTTAATGTCTGAAGTCCCATGAGAACAGAGACCACACCCCATCTTTCACAGCTGTGGTTTCACACAAATAGACACTCAAACATTTTCTGCGCCAAATATCTACAATGTATTAAGTACCTGGAGAAATACTATTTGTTCCGGACTAGATTTCTGTACCAACATGGTATAGATGAAATAAATCAATATATAAAATAAATCAATTAAAATCACTATGCTATATTTACAAAATTCTAACGTAATTTGTAAAAGAACATTTTTGAAGTTTGCAACAGGTGATTTAGGTAAATCAACAAAAGCTCATGGCCCCTGCAGCGTATTCACCTAAAGATGGTCATCTACTACTATTTGTCAGTAGTGGGCAGGTTGGCTTCCTTCAACAAGTAGTTATTTATGAAGTGACTGTTATGTGCCAACATCACTGCTGCTAAGGATGTGTACAAAATAATGTCCAAGAGGGTGACAGAAAAAGATGTACCAATAAATATTCTGAAGGAAGGAAGAGCCTGCCATGCTAAGTCAAGAACCACCTGTCATTACTGCATTCACCTTTATCTTCTTATCCACAGGCACAAAATGCCAAGTGTGCAGTCCACACCCTCACCAAGCCTTGCCTTAAAGCACACTTCACCCCACTGTCCTGTGACACCACATTGGCTTTTCTCCCACCTCTCGGGCCTCTTCCTGGAGGTCTGTTAGTCCTCTTCTTTTCTCTCTTTCTACTTGGATGTTTTCATCTACTAGCAACACCTGCCAATTTTTTGGTCTCTAGTTCAAATGTCTTTGAACTCTAATTTTGCTTATGCAAATGCCTACATAACATCTTTACCTAAATGTCTCAGGCATCTCAAATTTAACATGCAGAAAACAGAAGCTGTGATTCCTGACAGCCCCACTCCCAAAAGCCTGATTCTCCTCCAGTCTTTCCTGTATCACAACATAGAATATGGCAACACCATTCATTCCGAACTAAGTCAGCAATTTTGACTCTTCCATTCTCCCTGCCCAAGTGTGGGTATGCACATGCATGTACACACGGTCCGCCAAGTCCTGTCAGTTTTGCCTCCATGCACATGGTATATCCTTCTTTCCACTCCATTGCTGTGGCCCTTTCCAAGACACCTCTCGAAATCTTGTCGTAACTGGCATCTATGTTACTACAAAGTAGAATTTCTACTTTGTCCCATCATCCAATTCCCTTCTCCAGACAGCAATCTGAGATATCTTTTTATAAAGAAAATTTATACAGTAAAAATTACTATAGGTTTAACATAGCAAATTGATCCTGCACATTTACCAACTTTCTCTTGCTAACCCTACTAAAATGACAGCAAAAAATTAAAAAGGTACTATTTATCCACAAAACAATGAAACTAAAGAAGGCAAACAAGATCAAATAGTTCAATAGGTATCTGAAAGACAGAAAGTGAAAGGAGCAACTGAACAGAGCAGAGAAACCGAGACCCATGTGCCTGAGAGGAAAACACACAAGAATTGAGCAAATGTCTCCTAAGAAGTCAATCAGAGGCTCCTTGGGGAGAGCAGTCAGGCACAGTGCTCACAAAGGCAGTTGGTCAGAGTCTGAGTATAGGGCAGGGGGGGCGAACTACCCTCTGCCCTCAGCCTGCTCCCCAACTCCACATAGCCAAGTGTCTGTACCTTCTACCTACTCTCCCCAAAGTGACTGGGTTCAGGGATACCAAGCACAGGAGAGGGTAGGAGCAGGGCAGAGGCTGAAAACAAAAAATCTTATATATTTATAATTTCTAGAATTTCATCATTTTATATCTTAACACTATGGGATCATCAACTCATTTCTCTAGCCCAGCTCCCAAAATGTAACCAGGCAATAAAAAAATTTCCAGGCAAGAAATGGAGGACCTTCTCTAGAAAAACTATATAATGGGAGTGGAGGGCACGGAGGGCCAACAAATCCACATGTTGCAATTTGAGGAGTCCTGAAATAAGACTGGTCCTGCTTTTTAATGCATCACTCTTAAATATAAAAAGGTAGTCCAGAATCACCAGATAATTGATGCTGAAGCTTCCAACATTAGTGCCTCAAACAAATAAAAACTAACTTAAAAACAAAGATTAAAAAAAAACCAGCATCAACATAACACCCAACATGTCAACAGGCACTCCAAAAAGAAAAATCAGAAGAAACAGAAGAGATAAAATTATTAAAGAATTTATATAAGAAAATGCCCTCAAACTAAAGGGAATATCTGTGCATCTAATACACAGCAGAATGAATGAAATAAGAGCCATACCAAGATAGAGCATCATGAAATTTCGGAGAGAAAAGGTTCCTACGTAATTCCAAAGAGAATAAATGGGTCACACACACACACAGAGAGAAAGGGGAATCAGACTGGAATATGACTCAATGGCAACCCTAGAAAATTATGGAAGTTTTCTTCCAAATCCTAAGAGAAAATCGTTTTCAACCTAGAATTTAATACACAGCCAGACATGCACATGGGGGAGGGGAGGTGGGAAGTATTTTCAGACATACGTGGACCCAAAATGTTGTATCTCAGGCAGCAGAGATGAAGAACTTAACAGAAATTGTAACTTAGAAAAACAAAGGAGTATATATTTAAAAAAATGACCTGAGATTCAGGAACTGGGGCTCCAACATAGGAGAAGAGTGATAATTAGTAATCATTAAACCTGCCTCTAAGGGCAGAGTAAAATACAGGGACAGAGAACTACAGGAGGGAGAGAAGGAATTGAAATGTCTGAACAGGTGAAGGAAAAAATAAGAGAAATTTTGTACTTCTGTTGTAGTATCTGGGGAGACATAGCAGTGTGTAAAAAACAAAGCAAATAAAAAGAAGGCAAGTAACTCAGAACAAATAAACAAAAAACAAAACCCTATACAAACTATACCTGGATCAGTCATGAATCAAAATAATGTAAATACTGACTACCTACTTAACAACAGAAGACATGATTATATTGGAGGTACAAAGAGCACACGTGCACATGTGTATGTAATGGCTATGGGTATGTGAGTGTGCACTGGAAGAAGAGGGGATAAAAAAGCCAATCCACAATTTCTTATCTGAAATTCCAAAAATCCAGTAAAGCTCTAAAACACAACCACCTAACAATTTTTCATTAGCAACAAATGTATTTAACAGCAAAACCAAACCTGAATTTATATGAAGCAATACATAATTTCTATATATCCCAGTTAGCATGACTATTTATGTATCTTGCTGTTAAAGTATTACCATGTTTGATCACAGTCTCTACTGCCCAAAAGCATAGTACTGCTCAAGAGTCTACCAGAGATATTGTGTAATGTGTGGTATACATAGACCATTTACCTTTCTAAAATCCAAAACTCCTGAATTCCAAAGCAAATCTGACCCCAAGATTCTCAGATGAGAAACTATGAATGCGTAGTCAACTACCATATCAGGAATACAATAGATAGACTGAAGTTGATAAACAAATAACTGCATAAGCATATTACTCAGAAATATCATCAAAATAAGTAGTTGAGTTTCACTACCCCTGAGGCAAATGACTGTAATTCTTCAATAAGTATATTTTGTGTCATTTTATTAAGTTACAAAGACTACTTTGCTAAAAATAAAAATTAATTATAAGAAAAAAGGAAAGGTTTCATCAGTACCCTGCTTAAAATCTTCCATCGCTTCCCAATGTAGTAGAGAATTAAGATGCTACATTGAGATGGCTTTGTGGCACCTTGCTTCCATTTGCCTCTCCATCATCATCTCATACCAACCCCTCTCTGCTCTTGCTGACTTTCTGGAAACCCCCAGAAAGCTCTGTCCTGCCTAAGGTTGAGTTAGCAGTGCCTCTTCTGAATGTTCTTCTCCTAGCCATTTGCAGATCTGGCTCCTTCTCACCCTTCAGGTGTCACTTATATGCCATCTCCCAGAAAAAGCCTTCCTGGCCATTCAAGTAAAACCCCAGTTATTCTTTATCTCATCATCCTGAGTTTGAAAACACAAATATTTTAAACTAAAGAACAAAACTATAAACAAGCCACCACTACAAAGAAACTGGAAAAACTATTTGCATTAGATAATAGTCATACTTCAAATCACATCTCAAATATGACTCTTTAGAGAAAAATTTGACACTGCACACACTACCTTAAGAAAAGGTCCCTTTATGCCCGGCAGGCATGGCTCAGTAATTGAGCATCGACCTCTGAACCAGGAGGTCACAGGTTCACTTCCCCCTCAGGACATATGCACATGCATGTGCCCGGAGTTTCAGGCTCGAACCCCAGTAGGGGGCGTGCAAAGGGCAGCCAATCAATGATTTTCTCTCATCATTGATGTTTCTATCTCTCCCTCTCCCTTCCTCTCTGAAATCAATTTTAAAAAATTTTTAAAGAAAGGTCCCCTTTATGATAAAGGTTTCATAGTATCAAGTGCCTTTTCTCATAACCTCTACTTCTGTGTGGCTCCTGATGTCTGCCTTCCAAGTGGGATGTGAGCTCTGGGAGCAGGGATTAATTTGCTCACTATTGCTCCTCTCCGCATCTAATAAGAGACTGGCACACAGAAGACAAATATTTGTTAAGTGAAAGAATCAACAAATCAATAACTAAACATAAATTACTGCTGCAGATAAACAAAATAAAAACCCCATCAGGAAATTATTAAAAAACACAATTAAATGGCAAAAAAAAATTCTAAGTATGTTCAATCTCCCAAATCAAAGAAATACAATTTAAAAAAAGAATTTCTGTTGCCAATAGAGTGGCAAAAATTTTTTAAAATAATCATGTTCAGTATTTCTTTTGTAACTTGTTCATTCACACCATGTACTTTGTGTACACATTTGTCCCATATAGACTGAGAACACCTTAACAATTTCTCCTACTTATCACTGAATGCACAAACCAGCCCCCAGTCCTCCACAATCTTTAAATAAATCAGACACTACAGACACTACAAAATGTATCTGTTTCAAAAAATACAGACTTATGAATGGCATATTTTTTTAAGACTGCATAGGTAACTGTGAATAGGAGATGATGGTGCTGGGTGATGACATATTTACCATTAAAGATGGGTTTTGTTTAACATTTTAAAAAAGCTTGCCTTCCCAGAGTATATATTGCTTGGCTAGGTAATAAAGAGAGGCAATTATAAAAATGAGGACTCTTGCCCTGGACGGTGTGGCTCAGTTGATTGGAGTGTCGTCGTCCCATACACCGAAAGGTCATGGGTTCAATTCCTGGTCAGGGCATATACCCAGGTTGTGGAATTAATCCACAATCTCTTTTTCTTTTTTCTTTCCTTTCTTTCTTTCTTTCTTTCTTTCTTTCTCTCTCTCTCTCTCTCTCTCTCTCTCTCTCTCTCTACCTCCCCCCTTCTCTCCCTTCTTCCCTCTCTAAAACCAATAAAAACATATCCTCGGGTGAGGATTAAAAAATAATAAAAATGAGGACTCTTATGTAGACTGTAATTGAAAAAATTAAAAAATAAAATAAAAAGTTATGTTACTACCCTGGCCGGTGTGGCTATTTGGGTAGAGCGTCAGCCCAAGGGTCAAAGGTTCAATTACCGGTCAAGGGCACATACCTGGGTTGCAAGTTCAATCCCCAGCCCCAGTCAGAGAGCATGTGGGAGGCAACCAATAGATGTGTCTCCTTCACATCGATGCTTCTCTCTCCCTCTCTCACTTCCCCTTCTCTCCTCCCTCCCCTTCCACTCTAAGTCAATGGAAAAAATATCCTCAGGTGAGGATTAACAAAACAAGTTATGTTACTTACCTAACATAAGTAGAAAGCAACATTTTTAATACTACACAGTAGCTTTATTGGATCATTTCCATAGTTGCCTAAAATCTGACATCTTTATAAAATAGTAGGGTGCTGGAAATAATATCACAATTATAAAGTACATTTTTTCAATTAAATGCTGGTATATACGAAGGTAGTGCTGTAACACAAGTAACCTGAAAGACACACAGGCACCTGCATAGCTTCAGGGATGTGTACACATGTTCTTCTATTTCCATGTTAACGCTACCTACTTGATTTACAAGTTCAGGGATGCCCAGAGCTCTGTCAATTTCTTCTAAGCCTGTGGCATCGGTGTTGCTTAGGAGCGTGTGCAGCTGGTCCAACAATGCTCTTTCATCGTTCTGTCCTTCTAGGTTAGAAGGTGGCCCAAGAAGATCATCCAGAGAATTCCTGAAGAGTGGCCTAAAAAGAGACTTGCAATTACAATGATGCTTTTCCTCTTCAAAATAAAATATCACAATTACACATATTTTTAATATGCAACAAATACTCAAACACTAAGTATAAATACTAGGTGTACTGGTTAATAATGGTGGATTCTGTAATCAAAGAAAACACAATAATTTCAAGAAAAACATCAAAAGTGCTTTATTCAAAGTAATGTCCATCGCTAGCTACACATTTCCCCCATCTTTCAGGTAATTTGTGGATACCGTCCCAATAGAACTTTTCTTTTGAGACAAACCATTCAGAGACCCAATTTTGCACTTCTTCGTACATTTTGAAGTCCTGCTCAGAAAGTGCATGTGCCATCAATCGGAACAAGTGGTAATCTGAAGGAGCAAGGTCTGGTGAATATAGCAGATGGGTTAATACTTCCCAAGCAAGATCTTTTAACGTGTCTTTAACTGGTTTTGAAGTGTGTGATGGTGCGTCATCATGAAGCAAAATTACTTTGCCATGTCTTCTGGCACGTTCTGGTCGTTTCACGATCAAAGCATGGTTCAAATTGACTATTTGTTGTCGGTAGCAATCAGTATTAACCGTTTCACCTGGTTTTAGCTCATAATACACCACACCTTCCTGATCCCACCAAACGCAGAGCATTGTCTTCTTTCCGAAGCGATCTGGCCTTGCAGTCTATGTTGATGGTTGATCTGGATCAACCCATGATTTCCTGCATTTGGGATTCTCAAAATAAATCTACTTTTCATCGCTAGTCACAATTCGATGCAAAAAAAGACTTTATTTCATGCCGTTGAAGCAACATTTTACTGCTGACTTTTCAGTTTTCCATTTGTCTTTCATTCAGTTGATGTGGCACCCATTTTCCTTCCTTTAAAATCTTTCCCATTGCTTGTAAATGATAGGAAATTGTTTGCTGAGCAACATTTAATCTTTCTGCAAGTTGTTTTTGAGTTTGACACACATCTTCATCCAACAATGCTTATAATTGTTGGTCTTCAAACTTTTTTAGTTGACCTGGACATTCTTTGTCTTTCACATCGAAATCATCACTTTTAAAGCATTTAAACCAGCGTTCACAAGTATCTTGAGATGGAATATGTTCACCATAAAGCTTCCCGAAGTATACGATTAACTTTTTCTTCAAAATAAAGTAATGAATTAAAACTTCCCGCAAGTGCTCTTTTTTTGGCACGAAATTCGACATTTTTAAGCGTAAAAATATCTATGATGTTAACACTTTCAGCAAATTTGACATATGAAGTTTTTGTTTTTTTGACATATGAAGTTTTGAAGCTTGCTGTCAATACAACAAAATAGCATACATATCAAATCGCATATATATCAACATATGTGTAACTCCATCTATTGAAAAAAATCCGCATTATTAACTGGTACACCTAATAATAAACTGAGTAGCAGAGAATAGGAAATGATATCAATTTAAATTTAAGGCCCACAATTTTATTTTATTTTTTGTTTAATATAGTTATTGATTGCAGAAAGGAAGGAAGAGAGAGAGAGAAACATCAATGATGTGAGATAATCATTGATCGGCTGCGTCTTGCACGCCCCACACTGGGGATTGAGCAACCCAGGTATGTGCCCTGACCGGGAATCGAACTGTGACCTCCTGGTTGATGCTCAACCACTGACCCACACAGGCCAGGTAAGGCCCACAATTTTAAATTCACCAGACCATCATATCTAGCTTAGGCTTCCCCCCTCCCATCACTAAACTGTAACTGCTAGACCCCTAGACATTTGGGGGATAGCAAAGACTGGAGTGGGGGTGGAGGGTGCAGTTTTCAAGACCCTACAAGAATAAAAGTGGTAATAGTCATGTAAATTGAGAAATCAACAAAAGAACAGGAAAAAAGATAGAAACATTGCACTATCAATGAACTGAGCCTGGTATCCTGCCAAAATAACTTTTTGTTATACTTGGCCCACAGAACTTATGCAGTGACAGGTATAATACAAACTCCATACACCACAGCAAGGTGCCAGTTCTCAAGCACATTAAATGGGCATGGAACTAGACAATTCTCCTGACTCAGAAAAACTCTGTGATGAAACTATTTGTTCTCTACTAGGTAAAGAAACACTCAAGTTAATAAATTCATGTCATGCCCTGGCCAGTTGAATGACCACTGTCCCATGCACGGAAAGGTCGCTGATTTGATTCCCGGTGAGGGCACATACCCAGGTTGTGGGTTCAATCCGCAGTTGGGGTGGGTATGGAAGGCAACCGGATTGATGTTTCTCTCCTCCATGGATGTTTCTCTCTCTTTCTCTCTCTCTCTCTCTCTCTCCCCCCCCCCTCTCTAAAATCCATAAAAACATATTTTTAAAAAACTTGTAACAAATTCATATGGTTACATCACAAACTACTCAATAGATCAATTCATTTTTTCTTAGCTTGATTTATTATAGAATTCAAGTTAGAATTGACATTGACAGGTAGCCTCTTTCATGCAAATGAGTTACTACCAACCAAGCTAAATAAAAATGAAATATAAACATAATCCACAATCATTTTTTAAGAGTGCTTGCTATGTATAGTTCACTGTCACCATAATCCCTGAAATGTTTTAATTTTTTAAAAGAATTAATCCAATCCTTAAAAATTAATTTTCCATAAAAAATAGGCTTATTTATCCTCTGAACACCATTTATCTTATAAAACTGGTGCTAATTTACCCCCCTTCTCATGGAGGAGGATTATAATATTATGAGAGACAACTACCTCACAGAAGTCCCAGGTTTGACCATTCAAAGAGTCCTGGAAGCTGAACAATATAGCTTCATCTCCTCCCTCTCCCATGAACACCACTGCTTGCTGCCTCAGCCTTGTTTTTACATACAATTATCCGAGAAACGACCATATAGCAACTGAGTACCTAATTACAGAGTTTTTCTCATTCTCTTTCAGGTTTGTTCCTATGTTCTGATCCTTTTCTAGATAATCCAAGGCTAACTTTCTCTAGAGTCACATAATAAGCCCCCACCTATTTTGAGTCCCATGAGGGCCTTGTTCCATGGACAACATGCCGTCTGGCCAGGAACCTGATTGGTTAGATGGTGCTGCTGGGCCATAAGGACTGACCCCCATTCCCATGGGAATTTCACCAGGCCCTGGGGGGACAAAAAGAATAAATTTTCAAATAAGCCAATAGCAAAAATTACTCTAAAACATCTAATTTTCTTTTTTATGAAGGGGATGCTTACGCATTTGAAGCATCTGCTGATGTTGCTGTTGCTGTTGATGTTGCTGTTGCTGTTGCTGCTGTTGCTGCTGCTGCTGCTGTTGCTGCTGCTGCTGCTGCAACATTGGTCTTGCACCAGGAATGCTATTGGACCGAAGAGGCAAGGTGGGCATCGAGCCACCCATTGTAGGTCTGGGTAAAGAAGCATTAAAATCTGCTCCTGGTCTTCCCATGGAATTTGAACTCATGGATTCCATCCTACTGGCCTTTGAGTTTGACAAGCCCCAGTCTCCAGAGGAAGGAGTCTGATTCATAGTCACGTTTCTGTTTGGTCCACCTACAACAGGTAGAAAGGATTAGGTCTTTTCCATATTATAAGAAATCCTTCTTATATCAAATAGGTAAAGTTATCATATACAACATTAGCCAGTACAAAAAAGTACTTTGTCATCCTAAGAATAGAGCTAGCTAGTTATTAAGACATTTTTCATGGGTCACTATGTATTCAATTACAGGTTAGAAAATGTCTTAGACCAAAAACCTCCTGAAAAGTTTAAATAACCAAGACATAGATTAAATGAAGGAAATACTCATGAAAGAAACATTATGCTACTACTTTTATTCAAAAACCTATTACTTAATCCCAGTTACTTAACTGGTTTTAAGTGTTAAATTTGCTTTTCCCAAAAGAAAATTTTAATCACAAATACTAATTAGAAATAACATACCCATATTTGAGCCATAATTTTCCTGACTATCCATCATTCTTGGATTCCCACCCAACATGGGTTGCTTTGGTAACATGGGGAAAGCAGTGATATTCTTTACTGGAGGACTTGAGCCAACAGAAACAGGGCTATCTAGAGACACTGCTCGGTTGTATGGAGGACGAATGGACTGAACAGACTGTGGACTCCTCAAACCTGTTGTAAACACAGAAGCACAATACATATAAATATCCTCTGATGATTCAATACATGAATAATCAAGAATAAGACATAAATACAATACCACCCACCCAAGAATGTCTTTCTTACTAAAACAAACACTGTCCTCCTTTACAATATAAACACTAAATAAAAAAAAATTAAAAAACTTGTATTCCAAGCAAAGTAGAAACAAGAGCCTCAATGTTGGCTGAAGTAGTGGGCAATGATCTATAGCCTGATATGGTCATTCCTATTCCACTTCACTTAATACTGAAAATGTTACCAATGTTTAAAGGTTCTTCCCTTATGTCTATATATTAAATGGCTTCTCTGTTTAAAATTTTACAAGTAGGTATAACCAGGGAAGTTGCCTTCTAATCCAACAAGGAATGAAACATAAAATTTCCTAACCTTTTTCTTTTTTTCCCAGTCTATTTCATTAATCTGATTATCCATTTCAATTTAGGAAATAGTGCTAGTGAAAATGAATAACCACCATTCAGATAACTGTGAATTATTCTTTTTCAATTGATACATACAATATATCTGTATTAAATTGATGGATAAGGAAAAGACATGGCTATAGAAGAGAAGCTGGAACCAGCAAACACCAAATAAGAAGAGTCTCATAATGACAAGATTCCATAAGTATCGAAGGACAGGTTTTGAGCTACAATTTTGGTTGCTTTTTAATCTGATTCTCTGTGCCTAGAAAAATATATGCCCTAGCAACTACTATTCATCTGGACCAATCAAAGATGAACATTTTCCTGAAAGTGCCATGACTACTGGCATCGTATTAGTTAAAAAATTGGAAATTTTTTTAAAATAGGAAAATGTCCCAAAAGTTTTTTAAAACATGTAATTACAAATTAGTATGAGAAACTGAGAGGCATTTTGAAGTTACATATGCCAGCTGGACGCTAGTCTTAATGTAAGAGTACATGCAAGTATGCAAAAAAGTTTAAAAGGCAGCAAGAATAAAATTCTTTCTTACCCAGAGAATTAGTTCCTTGAAACATTTGTTGCTTGGTTCCCAGATTACTACCATTTGTAGATACAGAATTATTGTAAAAGTCAGAACTAGTCAGATCCCCAAGAATTGCATCTAGATTATCCAAATCTCCAGATCCCTGAAAATAAAATTTTAAAGATTAACCTATGTACATTACTAGATATATAGGTATAACCATATTCATTGGAAGAAAATAGATAAAATGGGTGAACAAATAAAATACAATGGTTACCTGAAACGGTAACTCTCAACTTAAAGGCTGGCTAGTTATGACCTCCCCTAGTCTTCTTCCATGAAAGAACAATATAAACTACTAAGACAAAACCCTGGTTTTGGAGCTGCTTTCAAAGGGGCACTTCCTTAATTTGCAGTAGATATTTAATTCTCAAACTGTAGAACGTTTCCCAGCTAACTTTAGTCAGGATCAGTAGCAGACACAGATGTCTGCATCTACACATACCTTCTGAAAACAAGTATGATTAATAACAAAAGCAACAAGCTGATATTCAACACAGTATTCATAGGCATGCTTTAAAAGGAGCTTTTGGTCAATAAATTTGGAGAATACTAGGTTAAATAAAGTTAAATGGACATCCTAACAGTAGGACTTTTCCAAGACTTTAATTTTCTCAGGCACATATTAACGTCTCCCAGAATAGTGTTCCTCAAGCAAAGTTTAGGAAGTGCTTATATAGAATGTGATCGTGTACATAAAATGTGATTTTAGGTAAAAATCAAAATGCTGTTGCTTAATATAAATCCTCACCCCCACTCCCCTGGTTTCTTTCTACTATGCCCTAATGACCCAATCTGCTCATTCTAACAATAAACACCTCCATGAAAAATTTCAAATTGGCTGGTAACAAGTTATAGTCACATTTTAAAATATATAATCTGGTATTTCTAAATTGCATCATAATACACTTTACTGATGCTCAAAAGAATTACAAAGAAATGATAGCTCAAGATTAACTTCCATTAAATAAACATAAAATACAAGATAAGAATTTGTGTATAAAACATTGTCTTTCTAACACAGAAATGCAAGGATGAAACACAATGACTAAGCTGGAATATACAGAAAACGAATTACCTCTTCATTTGCTTCTGTCTTAATTTTAGCGTCTTTCTCTTGGCTCGAGCTAGGCACAGTGGAGCTGCTGCACTGACTCATTTTGTTGTCTACTCCCTCCACTTTGGGCTGTACTTCTTTAGAGAGTGTGTCACTAGGATCGTCCCTGTCTAGCAGGTATCTGAGCAGGGCATTATTTTCCTTCTTCTTAGGACTTAGTTGCTCCTGCTTGACGTTTCCTTCCACACAGAATGTTGCACTGCTAGTGTCTTTTCCAGTGGCTTCTGCGGTAATCTTGGCCACTTCAGCTGGTGAATTGCCATTCTGCAGCAACTTGTGCAAAATCCGGTGCTTCTCTTGCAGCAGTGACCCATGCATATTGGATGTGGAGGACACTCCTCCAGACGTTGAAGAGGAGACCCCAGAGGGGCTGGTGACACTAATGGAAGAGTCTTTACAACTTGAATCCAGGGGGGAGTTGGTCAAAGAGGAATGACCCCGGTCATCAGAAGAACAGGTAAGTAACTGCAGTAATTTTTTATGACCTTTGCTTTCCAGAGGACCCCGCTGATTCTCTGATCCTTCAACATTGCTCTCCTTACTGTCTTTGTCATTGAGGTGATCCCTGCTATTTGACTGACACATTGAACTCTCCACTGGATTCTGGTCACAATACAAGCTTAAGGGACTTTTTGAATCCTGACTGTTCACTTTACTTGGTTGAGTTATATTCATATTGGGAGAGTTGTCCAATTTAGGGCCTGGTGAAGACAAAGTAGATAAAAGAGACGTCCCCACACCCTCACTGATAGCTTGAAGGGCACTAAGCGAGCTGCTGGAAAAGCTGTGGCTCCCAGTATTGCCCGAAGATCCAATAGGAGAGTGCACACCTGGATTTGGAGAAAAATGAGGAAAAGAAATAGACTATCAAATGCTGTAAAACAAAATACCACTTAACTCTTCAGAGTTTCTATTATAAAATAAATTAACTTCATAAGAATTACAGTGGTCTGGAAAGAAAGGGATTTCTGAAAAAGAAAAGGAAATGCCAACAGGAATACCTGCAACAGGAGAAAACTGATGTGAGGCCATCTTCGGACTCCCGCGGTTACGAGGAGAAATCATGATATTCTGCTGGTTGGAGCCAAGACCAGGACTCCCATGTGGGGGGCTACTCATGTTGAGACCATAGTTGTTGTTCTGGTAGGAAGATGGTGACTGCATGGCTGGCCCAGGGTTCATTGTGGCTATGTTACTGGAAGCCCCATACCTAGCTCCACTCATTTGCCCTGTGGTGCCAGGGTCAGCCAAGCCATAGGCCCTGCTGTTCAGCATCTGTAAGCCTTGGTTTGGTGACATGCTCATGCCACCTACCGAATTACATCCAGCCGCTGGAGGTCTAATGCCTTGTCCAACAGGATTTGGGTTCTGTCTATACCCATTCTGTTCCCTGCAAAAAAAAAGAGAAAAAACTGACAGGCATGCATTAAAGCCCTGAATCAGATTTTCAAAAAAGGATGAAGTGCCCAGGAACTTAACTTCTTAGGCATCATTCTGATACCTAGGGACAATTCCAATCTAGATATTGATCATTTATTAACCTAATGATATACTCTTTAATAAGCCACAAAATCTAAATGAGTGACACCACCACAGCACGGCAAAGGGCCAACAGCTATGTTAACTGGAACCTCAGCAAGGCTCTACTCGAGTTGCTGTCCACCTTGGTGTTAACCTGGAGATGCCAGCAAACTGCTCGATAATGAGTGATACTCCTCCAAGTGTTGTTCATTTACCATTAGCAACAGCAATAGTAACTATTCTTAAAGTCTACCTTCAAATTTTAAATTCGACCTTAGAGCAATTTAATATATCATTGAAAATGAAAGGTAACAGAGGTAGTCAGATTTTATTTGCTCTTTTATCCACTAGCCTTCCCAGTTCTGAGATTTCCCAGAAAGTAATTATTAATGAACAAATACCATTTTCACATTAAAATACAACCTTAAAGAAAACCTATAATCTAGGAATCTAAACTTACTGGTAAATCCAACATCCTTCTTGCTTTTACTCTTGTTAAATTTTTTCTCTTTTTACATTAATAAAACATCTTGAGAACACTGCTGCATTTAATATGAGAATATACAGTTAGTTATCTATCATTACCTCTGAAGAAAGTGGGTTGAGACAAAACCATGACGATCATTTGTTACAGGATTTCGGAAGAGTTTGCTTTTTGTTTGTGCAGTCACTATAGTTCCATCAGCCAAAGAGAATCGATACACTGGAGTTTCTGCATGGCCATGAATATAAGCTGTTGGAGAAAATACCCTGTTACTAATAACTACAATTACAAACAGATACATATAGAAAAGAAATATACTTCAAATGCAACATTTTCAAAATCCAGTGAAAGACTGGATCTGCACCAAAATTATGAACAGGCTAAACTAAGAATGCTCAAGAATAATTTTCCTATCCCACAGGCACAAAACAACAACTACGGTCATGTTTGTACTTCTACTTTATAGCACGCCAAACAGAATGACAAACAATATCAAGAATCTTCCTTAAAATTCTTTACCTTCTTGATAGTGACGTTTCTGAGACCATGACTGCCCATCATTAAGACTAAAAAATCTCTGGATACACCTTCGAATTATATCTTCAAAGCCAGGTCTCATAGAGGATCTCAGTGAATTTGTATCTATATTGACAAGTTTTCCTATTAAACAGAAAATAAGAATTTAAATCCAACCAACAAGTATTTACTGGTTGCATATTACATGGCTTCCCACTAAAAAAATAAAGACACTAAATCTTTGTTCCACCATCTTTGATCCAAATTTCCGCTGTATCCAAACCTTTTCTCTTTAACCAGTTAACTGCCACGTGTCCAAAATGGAAACCATCCCCACATGCCACGATATTTTGAATTTAATTTTAAAAAATCAATTTGCAATGAATATTACAAAATAAATATATCACTCACAATTCGGGTGTTCTTGAATATTTTCAGCTGAAAATTCTCACACAAAAAAATGATTTTAAAGTTTGTCAGGGCTGCCACTTAGGGAAAACATTTTTTTATAGATGTGCGTGGCATGTGAGGAAGGTCCACCACTTGCGACTACAGATGCTTATGGCATACAATGGGTTAAAGACACAGTCCTTCAGGAAACTCTTACATTAAATGTTTTGCTATATCTATACTAATAAAAGGGTAATATGCTAAATAGACCAGGAGACCTTCCAGACATCCTTCCAGACAAAGCCATAGTGGCGGGGCAGAGGCGGTTAAGGGCGAGCAGGCCGGCAAGGGGGGACAATTGGGGGCAGGCTGGCTGGCAGAATGGTTAGGGGCAATCAGGCAGGCAGGCAGGTGAGCGGTTAGGAGCCAGCAGTCCCAGATTGCAAGAGCGATGTCCGACTGCCGGCAGGTGGACATCCCCAGAGGGGTCCCAGATTGGAGAGGGTGCAGGCCGGGCTGAGGGACACCCCCCGACCCCTGTGCAGGAATTTGTGTACTGGGCCACTAGTAGACTATAAGAGTGTATCACATATCTCTTTCTACTTTCTGAATGTACAGAAAGTTTCATGTCATCTCAGGTTCATTTTCATTTAAAGGAAAAAAAATAACACCTACCAGTAAAATTGTTCATATCTGAAGATACTATCCCTGCAACTATGATCCAAGAGAAAATACCTGCCTAAACAGCTAGTAGGGACAATTCTTTCTATCTGAGAGGTGACTGCATTTTTGAACACTTAAAATCTAAACAAGGTTAACCAAGTACTCAAATCTGAAAGTTTGACAACTTTTGCTTAATATCAAATACACTAGAGATAAAATATATACAACTCAAATATGTTAAAAAATTAAAGTAGGTTTCATGATAGTCCTTAAAAACTAGCTACGCCTTTTCAAGATTTGTAGTGAATTTCTCTCAGGGCTGTATAAGAAATACAGGAAATAATCCATGCAAAGCATTCATTACACTGGGTACAGCCTGACAGTACAGGCAGTAGAAACAGTTAACTTTTCTAAACATTTCCTAAATGAACAAAATGTATATATGCAATACACCAAGTTTTTACCTGAAAGATCATGTCTAGTAATAAAGCTCTCAGGGTTTGATGGAAATGCTCTTTCTCCTGTAGTAATGCGGCGTGCCACACAGATCATACAGGATTGCAAATCTACAATAAAATTTAACCAGGTAAGAAATCTATATAACCATTAAATATAGCTGTTCAATAGGTAAGAACATGAAATTCAGTAAAAAGAATTGTAACAATGGAAATTATAAAACTACAAGTTTGGCTGCTATTTGTTTCATAAACATCACAAATATGTGATCACTCTTACCTTCCCCTTCCTCCATCATAGCTCGTGGCTGAGACAGGGCAAAGCACTGCATGGTTTCATATCTCTGGCGCATTTCAGGACTAGTGTTCATGTCTTCCACAATATCATGTGGTGTTTTCATCAACATACGGCAATTAAATGTATGGCTTTTTTGTCTCTGGGTCTCATTTGTCCAGGTAACTCCATTAACTTTGGAAAATAAATTTTAAAAGTTGGCAACTCAGTCTATGACCATCATTAAGAACTCAAGCTATATTTTCTCATTACGCACATTTTCCTCAGTAAGGGCTACAACTAACATTTCAAGGTGGCAATACAGTAGAGTTTCCCCTTACCCAGTTTGTTACCCATGGTCCAAAACTCTTAAATGAAAAATTCCAGAAATCAATAATTCGTAAGTTTTAAATTGCGTTCCATCCCGCCCCACCCTGCTGGGACACGAATCATCCTTTGTCCTGCATATTCACACTGTATACTCTACCCACCTGTTAGTCACTTCACAGCTATCTCCATTATCAGATCTAGTGTCTCAGCAGCAGTCCTTGTGTTCAAGTAACCCTTACTTTACTTAGTAATGGCCCCAAAGTGCAAGAGTAGTGATGCTGGTAATTTGGATATGCCAAAGAGAAGATATAAAATGCTTCCTTTAAGTGAAAAATTCATTGCATATGTATAGAAAAAAACAACAACATAGTATATATAATGATTGGCACTATCCACAGCTTGATATCCACTGGGGGTCTTGGATCATATCCCCTGAGGATAAAGAGGAGCTATTGTACATAAAACACTAAATAATTTTAACTAAAACAGAAACTTCACTGTATATTTTGGTCATATGAAATGTAAACCATATTCTAAATTCACCAAGATCATATTTGAAAATTTTACTATTAACCACTTGCCTTTCTACACAAAAGGTACATTTAATTTTCTAAGAATGGTCAAGAAAAAAATTTTTTCAGCTTATTTAGAAAATACATATTAAAGGCCTACCTGTAGATTTTGGTAAGTTTTTAAGGAAATCCTTTCTATCTTCTTCATGCAAGATATTATAGACACTTGTGTTAACCAGGTCCTCTTGCTTATATTGCAGATATTGTGTGACATTTTCTGACACAAATACAATGTTTCCATCACGATTCACCACAAACAGGAAACCATCCAATGCCTAAAGTGGGATATGTTAATATTGGATATTATGGAATGTACCATATCCCTACTAAAGTTCATATGTTGAACCCCTAACCCTCAATGAAGACAGGGCTTTTGGGAGGTAATAAGGTTAACTAAAGTTATAAGGGTAGGGTTCTAATCAAATATGACTGGTGTCCTTACAAGGAGAGAGAGAGAAACCAAGGATGCACACACAGAGAGAGAAGGCCATGTGAGGGCACAGTTAGAAGGCAGCCATCTACACAAGCCAAGGAGAGAGGTCTCAGAAAAAACCAAGCCTACTGACCCTGATCTTGAATTTCCAGCCTCCAAAGTTGTAAGAAATAAATTTCTACTATTTAATCCACCCAATCTGTAGTATTTTATTATGGCAGCCTAGCAGATTAAGAAGACACAGGCCTTGGTACTGAGTAGAATTTGAAAAAAAACACACAAAAAACTACTATCAGCCACCATTTCTATTAACATTAGTTCCAGGGTTTTATATATATATATAAAAGCCTAAGCAACCGTTCGACCACTCAACCGGTAGCTATGACGCTCACTGACCACCAGGGGGCAGACGCTCAATTCACAGGCATAGAAATATAGATCAGACTGATGAATCTCAGAGGGAAGGGGGAGAGGGGAGGGCAGGAAGAGATTAACCAAAGATCTTATATGCATACTAGAAGCCCGGTGCACGAATCCATGCACCAGGCCTCTAGTAAAAAAATAAAAAGATAATTTGAAGGAAAAAAAAATGTATATGTCGCCGAAACCGGTTTGGCTCAATAGAGCGTCTGGTGGGGTCCCTCGGCCTGGAATGCAGGGATTGGGCCGAAAACGGCAGTCCAACATCCCCCGAGGGGTCCTGGATTGCGAGAGGGCGCAGGCCAGGCCGAGGGACCCCACCGGTGCACGAATCCATGCACCAGGCCTCTAGTAAAAAAATAAAAAGATAATTTGAAGGGAAAAAAATGTATATGTCAACATAAAGTCTGAATTAATGTTTAATCTAATTTTTAAAGAATTACATCTTCAAAGCTTTTAAAAATGAAAAGAAATCATCCTTAGTGCTTCCCATTTGTCCATCTGATATCAAGTCAGGCTACAAGAACTACTCTATTCCTTTACGAGAATTCACAAAGAAATGTACTAATCAACTAAAAGGAGAGGAGCAAACTAGATGAAACAAAAACGTTGACAAGTGAATTTTATGAAGGGCTTCAGGCCCTGACTTCAAGTAAGAGAAACATTATGTAAATGGTCTAAGTTAATCATATCTATTTAAGACAACTACTTAGAAAATGCACATTAAACCTTAAAAATTCCTGCCAGAAGGGAAGGCATTTTGGAGACTGGATGAAGGAATTGAGAAGTACAGATTGGTAGTTATAAAACAGTCATAGGTATGTAAGTACAGCACAGGAAATATAGTCATTAATATTGTAATAACTATATGGTACCAGGTGGGTACTAGAAATATTAAGGGGAACACTTTATAAAGTATATTGTCTAACCACTATGCTGTATACCTGAAACTAATACAAAATAATAGAATGTAAAATGTAATTGAAATTTTTAAATTAGAAAAAAAACTTAAGAATATAAAATTGTAGTATGGCATATGATCAATCATGCAAAAATGCACAAAAGAGTCTGAGGGCCCTGGCTGGTTTGGCTCACTGGATAGAGCGTCGGCCTGGGGACTGAAGGGTCCCAGGTTCGATTCCAGTCAAGGGCATGTACCTTGGTTGTGGGCACATCCCCAGTAGCGGGTGTGCAGGAGGCAGCTGATCAATGCTTCTCTCTCATTGATGTTTCTAACTCTCTATCCCTCTCCCTTCCTCTCTGTAAAAAATCAATAAAATATATTTTTTAAAAAAAAAGAGTCTGAGGTAAAATATGCCCTAATATTAACTTTGAAATTATGCATTACCTTTCCTCTCTTGCTTTTTTATATTTTTGTTTACTTTCTCAGTTTGCAACTACATTTTTATAAGGAGATGCTCCTCTTCCCCTGCAGGCCTTCTGAGTTATATATTGTAAATATAAGAGCATTTTTCCATCATATTCAAAATACTAAGTTCTGTCTCATAAAAAGAAATGTCTTTCTATTCTCATTACCTAACCAAAATTTCAACAGTTTTTTAAAAATAAAAACAGCTTACTGGATAGCTAAAGCCATATACTTGCCTGAAGTAAAAGTGGTCCTAAGGAGTCTTTATCAATAACCCCCTGTCCTGTAGAAGATACATCAGCTTTCTGAACATCATCATCATTGGAAATAGCTTTTCCTAAAAAGACAGAAAACATTACTACAAAAAGCACATATACTAGTGATAGATTAAATCTACCTTCAAATAGTCCCCAGAACAAAGAGACACACACGTGCATATGCACATACACAGTATTTCCTGATATGAAAATGATACTATAATTTTTACATGTTAAAATTAAACTTCAGAGTTACCTAGGAGGGTAGAAGATAAAGATATCCTAAATTTTCTTTCATTACTAAATGTACTACTATCCCATGGCTTCCTGAAAAAGAACTAACATTTATCAGAGAGAGCAACACTGGCCTTCTTCCAATTCTCTGTTAATAGTCCTAAAGAGTAAAACTGGTCAACTCATTTATCCATTCCCACAGAGGCTAGCCTCAATTATTAGCAGCCCCCACCTAAGCAACAAGGAAACAAAAAGACAAATGTAAACAATTAACAAGTTCCTTCTAAAAGACTTGAGTGTTTTTCTTACTTTGTATTACCTTGCTCTTTTATTTGGCGTATCTGTCTTACTGTTTCCTTCAAAATTGCACATTTATCTGGTTTGACGTTGAAATTGTCAATATCACTAAGATTAGCAGATATCAGTTCAGCCAATTCTTCAATGTATTTACTCTCCTGCTCCCGTCTCCACTTTTCACCACTGCAGGTAAGACTAAGAAGAGGGGGGAAGGGGGAGACATGAATATACCTATCACAAAAGAGCTATGAGCAGAATCAGTCCCTACACAACACCATTACCTTCATATGTAAATAAACTAAATTCAGCCAATAAAACTATCAAAACATTGTGTTGAGAAGTGGTACAACATAGCATAAATTCATGTAAACCTAAATTCAAATCTACCTTTTTGTTAGCCCAGTAGCCTTGGGCAGAATTAATCTCAGTTTCATCAATCTGGAGATTGGGGATAAGTATTAATAATGAGGTTTCATAAATTGTAGATTGTTTTTATTTGCAACTATCATATTAAAACTCAAATGATGCTGACCTTGGTAAATACTTAAAAGGCTACAGAGTATCACTGCATAAAATGCAGCATTTTATTTCTATTTTTTAAACTTCTAACTACATTCAGGAAACAAATGATGAAGCCTTATAAATGCCAAAATATCAACTAATAACATGTTCTTAAAAAATATTTACAATTCTTATTTATAATAATCTCAGTTATCTGTTCCTAACTCCTACCTCTTCCGTTGAGAAATGCTTCTTACAGTATCACCCTGTTAGTATAATATTCTCACTTCTATCTGAATCAGCGATAAAGCCTCTATTACATCATAAAGATGTCCATCTCATCACTGTACCACTCTACTTACTATAAAGCAAAATAACAATATTAAAGCAAAGACAAAAACCAAAAATATCTAACCAGAGAATGTAAACAACAAAAAGTTGAAATGTTATCTTTAAACTAAAAAAAATAAATAAATAAGAGTAGGGGAGGAAATCTTGGTGAAGCATCAGAAAATAAATTGCCTACCCTTGTCCTGGGGTATCACATGGCAATTTGCGCTTTCGTGAATCAGGGACCAGTGGATCCAAGGAGTTTTCTCCTAATCCACTCATCGTGAATATACATCAGCAACTAAGAAAGAGTAATAAGATAAAAACGTTATAAAATATCCATGACTCTATAAAGATATTATATGCCTGAATGACTGCACATCATGTAATTCAGAACTACTTTCTCTAACTAGTTAGATAATTCTCAATATTCTTTAAGATTTTTTTAAATTGATTTTTAGAGAGAGGGGAAAGGAGAGGGAGAGAAAGAAACATTGATGTGAGAGTGCAACATCAATCAGCTGCCTCCTGCATGCTCCCTACCGGGGATTGAGCCCACAACCCAGGTATGTGCTCTGACCAAGAATCAAACTGACAACCTTTAGGTGCATGAGACGACGTCCAACCAACTGAGCAACATGGGCCAGGGCTTGAGATTCTTTATAGCATATCAACGAGTACACAGAAGACAACCTCACAGTTCATATTCCAGTCTGATTACACAGAACGCCCAGCCCCAAGAAAGAAATGCTTCTCAAGTGCTACCAAAAATGTGTACACTCAACACCTAACAAGGAATTAGGCATCTTCTTCATACTTAATAACAAGACAAAGAGACCACCAATTCTTCAAATGATAAAATCCTGAATTTTATTTATTTCCAAGTAAGCACAAATAAGAGCTTATCATTTGGTAAGAAATGTTCCAATGATAAAAGCCTAAATTATATCAAGCTGTCTTCAAGGTAGCACATTTTTTTCTTTAGATTATTTCATTAATATTTATCATCCAATGTGTTTTACTCCTGTTACTTCAAAATAAACCTAGATTGTATAAATACTAGTAACATGTAAATTCCACTTCATTCTGCTTAGGTGCACAATAATTAAACTCAAGGGGGAAGGGGAGATAGATTTTTATAAGATCTACAAAGCAAAATTATTTTTATGTTAACTGATGGAAATATAATATGCTTTGATTAAAGTTTCACTAATAAAGAAAATAAATGTAGGGCATTTCTTGTGGAAAAAAGAAACAGATTTTAACTGGGGAGCTCCTAATTTTAAGACATCTACTAAACCTTAACTTACTAAGAATTTTTTGTCCTAAACTCTTGTTTAGGAAAGTAATCATTGTTCTAAAGAATTCCAAGTCAATCAAACATTCCAAACTATTTTTTCTTAACATGTTAAAATGCATCTTGTAGTCTATCTACATTCTGAGACATACATTAAAGGACATAAATTTCCGCTAGGTGGCACAATACTACCAAGAAGGGAGATTAAATGAAAATGTAAAATTTCACACAAGATGCTGACCAGATTTAAAATGTGTAGCTTTTTAAAAATCAAAATTACCTGATCATTAATCAGGAGTTCTAGATTACACCATTGTCTTAACAGATGCTCTAAGTATGAAACAAATATCAACAAAATTCATTCTACCTATAATTTTGGTAGAAAAATAAAAAGGCTGAAAAGCTAAGATGTTTTAAAAACTTGGTGGGTTTTTTCCCCTCACAACATTAAGTTACAATAAAGGAACAAAAAAGAACTGAAAATAGCTTTGATTAAAAGTTGCTTAATGCTATGATTTTAAAGCATACTCAGAATACAATCCAATCACAGAAGCCTTTCAAGCCCCGGACAGTGCAGTACAGAAAATGACTACAGTGGACTTTTCATTGAATCAGAATCTAAAGGCCCAAAGTGTATTCAATATGAACTAAACCGTGTAGATCTTTGAGCCTTTTTTGCAATTATTTTTCTTGTATGAAATGTTTCTACTAAAGAGTTAATCTATGCTATACTACTTAAATATATGAATATGACAATACACACTTTAAGTTTACAGTCATCCCTCAGTATCCATAGGAATTGATTCCAGAACCCCCTTAGACACCAAAATCCATGGATGTTCAAGTCCCTTATATAAAATAGCATAGAAAAATGCATATAGTCAGTCAGCATCCACAGATTCCCAACCACAGACAAAAATTATGTTGGATGCAAAACCCACAGGTACAGAGGGCCAACTATACAGTTAGGCAAGATATTCTGTGCAATTACCTCAAGTAGAGAATAGTAGCCATTTACAATAACTTTCAATGCTATCAAAATTTAATTTTACCTATGTCTATATTATTTGGAAAAAGTCAGAAGTATATCCATGATAAATCAGATTTAAAATGAGCAAGAATCTTATAGCAACTGAACAGAATTTCTCATATAAATACTGTATGTCCTTCCATACATAGTAATCAAACTATGAAACATGTTTAAGCTTAGAAATGAACAGAATAAAACAAACTGCTAGAAAATGAACATTCCTAAACTTTAATTCAGGCTAAAAAGCAGCAAAGAATTACACTTGTCATTCAGCTCAAAAGCCATGATATTGTTATATATGGCTTAGCAGCATTAACTAGCTTTCCTTTTGGTTATTTGAGGTTAAGACAGGAGGGAACATCTTGATTGTGTACAACAAACTAGCCAAATGGACAAGGATACAGGAAGCACTTACTCCCTGTCCAAAAGGAAAAGATATTAATCAACAAAGCTAATGTCACTAGACAAGCAAAAAGTTATTTTGTGGGGGCCTAAGAAAAGCCATACCATGCCAAAATGGGGAGGAGATAGGTTACCAAGTAAATTTCAATTGGCATACAGACCAACGAAAATATTTTACTTTTTCTAAATTAATAAGGAAAAAGGAAGGGAACAACTTTCGTTGCTACAGTGCTGAGCATATCACATATTCTATGTAATTTCTCACAGCAACTCTCCAAGGTATGTATTATCAATCCCATTTTATAGATAAGGGAACAGCTACATAACTTTTCACTAGATCACACACAGATACTGGATGACAGAACTGAGACTGCAACTGCTTCAAACTTTATAACCAACAAAATATGTATCAAATGTTTCTTGGGCATTTTATCTCACCCCCATCACCACCACCAAAAAAATAAACCTTTTATACTGTTGAATCACACTATCTCCAACCAGTTAGCCAGAAAATTTCTCAGCCCATAAGTAAGAATACTGAGAAATTATTACATCCAGGGTTAAGGGCATGTAGTATTGGGGACAGAGGCAAGGAACTGCTCAAGTTCAACAGGTACTAAATGTTGCTACTCCCCTCCAGCCCCTAAAAACTAATCATTACTCTACAAGTCACCAGATAAATTGTCCTTTGACGTAGTCTAATATTAACCATGACTCTTATTTCCACTTGAGACAAATAGTCAGTGGATCCCACAGCAAGAAAAAAACTTGCAATCAGAAAATCACAAACTGCACCCTAAAATAGTCTTAAGTATTTTTATTCTTGCATTTTATAAGATTAAATGCTGGGGCCGAGAACTCTCTGACTATCCCCACCAGTAACTGAGTTTATTAGTCAGGCTTGTTCGCCTTAGTTATGCAAGGTTATGATTAATATGCTAATTTAGGGAGTGTTTCTGGGTGTCTCCTGAGACTCACTAACTTAAGGAAATTTTCAAACAACTGTAGAGTTGACTTCTTGAAAACATCTTGAAGCACTATGTAAAAACAGATATTGCTCAAGTCAATTAGCAGAAAAAATTGCTCTTGGAAAAAATTTATGAGACATTCGTATATAAAGGCACTACTCAAAACTCAAGTTACAAATTGGCATGCTTACTCAAGACACTTTAGTATGTAGTCACCACTAGTTCATCTAAAGGCTTAATCCTACAAGATTTTATTTTCTAAAATATCAAAGGTTTTTTATTTCAATCAGTTGTGCAGCTCCAAGAGCACCAGTACCATGGAGGAAAGAACTGAACAACGTATAACCCATGTATTTCCGGGGGGACAAGGAGAAGTAGGGGAAGAGACAAGTCCACACACATGGAACCACTATGAAAGCTTCCTCTTCCAGTGATTATCGCCTACCTTTACGCTTTAATTCCACCCTGGTAAAGAGAATAAGAGCTGAAAAGAAACAAGGAGGAAGGAAAAGAGGGGGAAAGTTCCAGATAAAAAACTAACTGGCAATATCTTTTTGTTCTGTTGCTGATAACCTGTTATGTTTGGTGGGATAAAGTATAAACTACCTAATGCAATCCGTTTTTCAATTTAATTCCATTTCAGCTCAAACACATGCCCAAAACCATTTTAGGTCCAGGAAATAGAAATGAATTGACACTACACACTGCTAGACCTCAGGCTAGCAGAAGTGGAAAATATTTAAACAATTACAAAATAATTTTGTAAGTGTTCAAATGAACACACTATAATAAAGTACATGGGAACACAGATGATAGGAAACCTACCAGCTTACCATTTTTTTTAAAAAACTGTATAAATGGTGTCTACAATAAACAACCTTGGTGCAGACATGTGCCAGAAAACACTATAATCTCAGGACCTGGTCATTCTTTTCCTCTATCTTTATTTATAATGCCAGCAAATATGGAAAGGAGCTACCAGAGAGCAACCAAATAAAATATACTATTTTTAATATGTAAGTTGAGTTGAAAAGCATCCGAATGTAAATTAATAGTCATTTTATCCACAAGGTTTCATTCCCTCTTCTCTCTTTCTATGTTTGCCTTTTCATTCTCAATCAACAGGCCAATCCCAAAGGCCCTTCACATTTTTGCTCCATTTTAAATTTGATGAAGTCAAACTCAAACACAAACTCCTCAGAGGCTCTAGTACCAGAACTGGGCATACCAATTAGCCAAGGCAGGTGTTGGATGCAACTGGAAGCTTGTTGCCAAGAGACTTTTCAAGCTCTACATAAGCAACAGAGTTGAGGTTCACAAATATACATTGTGCAGAGGGAGTTAAACAAGCCAATTCCATCTAAATCATATTACCCTCTCCTGACAGCATACTAAATAGTTGGGTAATTCCTTAGTTGTTTTAAAGGTTACACTGACTCCTACAATTTAATGCACTGGATCTATCTATAATAATAAAAGCAAAATATGCAAATCGACTGAACGACCGAACAGTAGAACAACCGTCCAAACGACCACACTATGACATGCACTGGCGCCAAGCCAGCCAAGGCGGGTGCAATGAGATTGGTCGGGGGGCCCACCAT